TTGATGTGCCCTGTGACTATGGTTCTGAGCCCACAAGTCCAAATATTTTTTTCCCTCTGGATAGCTGGCTGTGCCCAAGAAGTGAATACAAACTTGTCCCTTGACAGCTCTACAATATACCTGGAAATTTTAAAAGAACATACAAATATACTTTCAGAAACATTGTCTGCCAACCCTATATACATGGTCATGGGCACACTCCCCCCCTGCATAGACATACCTAATAGTTCAGCCTGTCCACCCATCTATCCACCTGTATACCCATGTTTGCCTTCACTGACAATGCCATACTATATGTGCAAAAGGGTTCAATCCTTGTTGTCTGTACCTCCCATGTACCTCTCTATGTCTTTCTCTTCCTCAATGCCGCTGTGTTGATCACTCACATTTGGTACATTGGCCTTCTCTTCACCCAAATCAATACTTGTCTCTACCTACCAGTGTTCTCTCCCCTCACTTCCCAGCCCTGGTAACCAGCAAAGAAAATTTCCTTCCGTATATAAACCTTTCCCTGACTTTTTACACTAATGGACTAAAATACAATTTTTGTCCTTCTATGATTGACTTATTCTGCTCAGCATAATGCCATCCAAGTTCATCCACATTATGCAGTGTTTTTCAGATTCTATATTGTTCTTTAGGGTTGCATAGTATTCCATAGTGTGTATGTACCATAGTTTGGTTATCCATGCTTTTGTTGATGGGCACCTAGGTTGTTTCCATCTTTTGGCTATTGTAAATAGTGCTGCAATGAACTATTTAAAAAATACTAGCACTTGGGACCTGTTGTTGTTGTTGTTATGTGCTGTCAAGTTGGACCCGACTCATAGCAACTTCACCTTGGGTTTCCGAGGCAGTATCACTACGGAAGTAGATTGCCCTATCTTCCTTCTGAGGAGTGGCTGGTGGGTTTGAACCACCAGCCTTCTGGTTAGAAGTCAAGTGCCTTAGGCACTATACTTATATATGGGTGTGCATATATCCATTCTTGTCCTAAGCCTCACTTCTTAAGGATATATACTTAGTAATGGAATGGCTGGTCAAATGGTATTTCTTATTCCAACTTTTTAAGGACTCGCCATACTCATTTCCACAGTGGTATATCATTTTACAGTCCCACCAACAGTGTGTGAGAGTCCCAATTTCTCCACACCCTTACCAGCATTTTTTATTTTCTGTCTTGTTGAATTTTGGCACTAATGCTATGGCAAGATGGTATCTCATTGTTGTTTTGATTTGCATCTGTCTAATGGCTTATGATCATGAGCATTTCTTCATATGTTTGTTGGCTGCATGAATATCCTCTTTGGTGAAGTGTATATTCATGTCTTCTGCCCATGTTTTGTTGGGTTATTTAGCTTTTTGTTGCTGAGGTGTTGGAGTTTTCTATATGAAGTGTATTGTGTTTTAATGAACATTTTGTTTAAATATAAATATAAGTTCATTTTGATGACTGCCTTCTAACTAATTAACATACAAACCTAACCAGAGCCAAACCTGGAGTTAATTCCAACTCATAGCAACCGTATAGGATAGAGTAGAACTGCCTCACAGGGTTTCCAAGGCTGTAAATCTTTATGGAAGTAGGCTGGTATATCTTTCTCCAACAGACCTAGTTGGTTTGAATGGTGAGCAGTCAAGCGCTTAAGTATTATGCCACCGGGGCTCCCATATAAACCTTTGATAATTAATTGCATATTATGTATTCTTATATTTTTGGATCACAAAAAGGTGATGAAATTTTATTTTATATGAAACTGAAAAACTAATTTTATGTATAATATGATGATCATAATTTGATTTGATGTATGATCTGTCTAATTACAAATTAAGTGTTCCAAATACTGTGACTTTGGTATTTGGAAACAAAAAAGTTGATAGTCATGTTATCTTTTTCATCTCTTTTGATGCTTGCCAGGGAAAATGCTAGAGGGAAATTCCAATTTATCCCATGATGTCTGTATCCCCCAGGGCTTAACCAGAGAAGCAGAACCAGAACAAATATTTAATGCAAGGAATTGGCTTATGCAATTTACAGGACTAGCTAAACAAGTTGCAAGTCAGCAGGGCAGGTAGAAAGGGGAGACCACAGCAAGCTGGAACCCCACAGTCATGAGCTTGTTGTCCACAGGTTGCAGTCTGGAAGGAAGATCCACAGGGAAAGGAGAGCAATTGTAGACCCAGCTGCTGTTTGGAATCTCTAGCTCTGGGAAATTCTAAGCTCTGTGTTAAAGATCTTCCAAGTAATTAAGTCAGGCCCACCCAACTCTAATTTCCTTCTCGTTAACTAAAAGTCAACAGATTAGTGACTTTAGTCACGTTTTCAAAATCACTTCACAGTACCAACTAGGATAATGTTTGAAAAAGTAGGAGAAGGAGAACATGTGTGTGTGCTTCAAAATGGCTGCTGCCTGCTTTCTGTCCCCTAACTCTCAGGGGGAGAGAGATTTCCTCATAGCTCAATCTAACCAGAAACATAATAGAGAGGCAGTTGTGGGGTTGTAGTTCAGTCTAGACAAAGTGTCACATCACAAAGCCATGTCTAAGTGATTGCAATGTCTAAGTGATTTGCTCCAAGCTCCAAGCTCACTGCCATCAAGTTGGATCTGACTCAAAGCGACCCTTCCTTGGGTTTCCTAGGTGGTATCTCTATAAAAGTATATTGCCCAACTTTCCTTCTGAGGAGTAGCTGGTAGGTTTGAACAACCAGCCTTCTGGTTAGCAGTCAAATGCCTTAGGCACTGCACCACCAGAGTTCCCAAGTGATGTTGTTGTTGTTGTTATGTGCTGTTGAGTTGGACCCAACTCATAACGACCCCTCCTTGGGTTTCCGAGACAGTATCACTAAAGGAGTAGTTGCCCCATTTTCCTTCCAAGGAGTGGCTGGTGGGTTTGAACCTCCAGCCTTCTGGTTAGCAGTCAAGTGCCTTAGACACTATGCTACCAGAGCTCCCAGTGCTAGTTCTTTAAAAATTCAGAAAAATATAAATGCTTATCATTTTTTCAGAGATTTACCTTCTAAGTTTAGAATCACTTGGTGTCATTTTACTTCCTTTTCTAAAAGTAAAATTATATAGCTTTTTCAGTTAGATTAGTGAATTGTAATAGGATTTTCCAGGAAATTCTTACACTATTTAAATAATTTGGCAACAAAGTATCAATTTTTATCCTGCATGCATTTTAGCATGTAATCTTTCAATCATTGTTGTTCTCCCATAATGTGATTATAAAACAAACAAAAATTCATAAAAACCACTATATAGTTTAATGTTTTTATTGCTACTATATTAAACATGAAATTAAAAAAAATATTCTTACAGTTTTTTTCCAAAAGATAAAGTTTTAAAAGTTCTGAAATCAGATCAACTTCTTACCTAAGTGAAAGACGACAAACTGATGAACAGGTTTTCAAGGTTAAAGGAAATCATCTATCATCTAATCAAAAGCTAATTTATATTAGCCAATGAAGAATTTTATTTTGATAATTATCAAGGACTGATGTTTATGCAAGATATACTTAATGCTCTTTTAAGTGAAACCTCCAAGAAAAATAAGAATGAGAATAATTTGGATTACTGTGGTGAGTCAGTTGCTTTTTCATATGAATAGTTCGGAAGACCTCTTGAAACTCAATCAAAGTGTTAGATGAGTTCTTCAACTTGTGAGAAAACCTTCAATGGAAACAGCAAGTATTATGGGTACTCTTTTAAACTTTCCTAATAAGAACTTCAGTACCTTGTTCCACAATCCAAGAAGTTATACTAATTAAACTGATTTGCTTTCCTTTATAAATAATTCATTTCCTCTATAAAATAGAGCAGCAATAGAAATTACCAAGAGAATACTTGGAGTTATCTCCAGAGCTGATGGGGAAAGTCATGTCCCAGAAACCCTCTTAGAATTGTCTGTAACTCTGATCATGGTGATCCTGTTGTTGTTGTTGTTATGTGCCATCGAGTCAGACCCGACTCATAGTGACCCTTCCTTGGGTTTCTGAGGCAGTATCACTACAGAAATAGATTGTCCCATCTTCCTTCCAAGGAGTGGCTGGTGGATTTGAACAGCCAGCCTTCTGGTTAGCAGTCAAGTGCCTTAGGCACTATGCTACCAGAGCTCCCATGCTGATCCTAGACACTGCTAAACTGGGAGATCTTCCTACATTAGTGGACTCCATTGTGAAACTTCCTAAGCTGGCCAAGAAAGTTTCCAAGAAGATGGTGACTATTTTTGAAACTCATTTCATGTCTGTTACCATTGACACTTTCCAATTCTTTGACACTCTCTATTCTATTTTGCAACAAAATATTAAAAATGCTTTGAATGAAGTACTTACTTTGAAAAAGGCAGATCATTTAACGTATGAAGAGATAAAAGACTTGTTGAAACCATTTCTTGACTTAACCTTTGGGATAATTAGGATCAAACCTAATATTTCTGAAGACTCTGATCTTTTCAATATGTCTTCAAGTATACTATCATTTGTGAACAAATTCAAGGATTTTTCTGATATTTTGGAAGAAGTTGATAAATTTTTAACTTCTGTGAGTATCTATTTGGGAGATCTGGAGCATCTTGTGGTAATGTTTAATAATGTTGTTGTTATGTGCCGTCGAGTCGGCCCCTACTCATAGCGACCCCTCCTTGGGTTTCCGAGGCAGTATCACTAGGGAAGTAGGATTGTCCAACCTTCCTTCCGAGGAGTGGCTGGTGGGTTTGAACCGCCAGCCTTCTGGTTAGCTGTCAAGTGCTTTAGCCACTATGCTACCAGAGCTCCCTGTTTAATAATGGGACTCAATTATTTTCTATGGATTCTCATAATTTATGGGAAGAAATTCTGGACTGTTTAGTTCCAATAAATGACATCCCCAATCAAATGGACATATTACACCCAAATCCAATTTCCACTCATAGTTTTCCTGAAGATACAAAATGGGAAATACATGAAGTGATCCTTTTTTGGATGAAAGGCTATCACACAGTACAGAAATAGGGATTTATTTGAATATGGTGATTGAGCTCAGCTTAAGAGTTCTTTGGGATGAGTTAAAGGAAGATGACTGGAACATATTTAATTTATTGTTGACATTTGCTCAGCATCCACATAACTTGTTGGATATAACAGCAATAATTGTAGAGAATTTGAGGGAAATTAAAAGTAACCATGGAGATGCTTTGAGTAAAGTTTATTTTTCAACACTTCTTTGAATCAGAATCACCAACAACTTGATAAAACAATCCAAATTGTGTTAAGTCGAATAGATCTCTTGAGAAAATTGCTTCTCCTAAACACCTCTCAGTGGATGCATTCCACAAAAACTTTGCTTCCACCAGTTTTAGAGAGTATATTAATACAACTACAGGAAAGGATGTCTTGTTAGAAAAAGAAGAGAAGACCAAGACAGCAATGATTGGTTCTCCTTACATGTTCAAGCCATTATCATGTTTCAAAAAAATGCATGAAGAGAATATTTGTATTGACTGAATTCCAGCAAAAGGAAGTCCCATTGACAGATCAAAGGTAACGAAACACCTAATTCACTTCATTTTTTCCCCCCTACTGCTGGAACTATAAAATAAAAACATGCAGAAGTTAATTAAAATAGTACTTCTGGACTTCAAATTTCATGACATCATGAAGCCAACTTCAACATAAATTATTTGAGATTTACTAATTAATTAATTTTTCACTATATAATTCATTATTTGGAATTGTAATACTTCGATTTTATTCTCAAAAGTAAAGACACATTGTTTCATTCACTTGTCTGAAAGATACAGAAATAAGTTTTTGATTCATATTCTTTGGAAGCCAAGCGTCCTACTAGTTGATATGCAGGTAAGAACATGAGTTCTCTCACTTCACCCAGAAAATTGTGTTTCCATTTGTAGTGCACGAATGGAAAGGTCTAGAACTTTTGACTTCTGCGCTCTTTAGATATGGCCCAACATGGTTGATTCCACCTGTCAGCACCTTTTCCTTTCCTTTTCTAAATGCTAGGCCTAGGGAAATCCATTCTTGAAACTCCAATCCTATTCATTATTGTGCTCTATGCAGAGTCAGTTCTTTTAGGTTTGAAGCTTTGTGTGCAGATCTTGGTGCACAGAAAACCAGAAATGCTGTTTCTGGCCCAATCCTACCTTTCTGAGCATGATAATGCTATTTAAGTGGTCCAGGATCCACACCTTGATCTCAGTCCCACATGGGAATTGAAAGTGCTATTTTAGCTCTGGCTCGTTTGCCAGAGAATCTGACTTCTTTTATGATAATTCTTTTATTGAAGAGTATCAACTGGAATAAATTATTTTTTTATGTCATGGAAGGCTTTCCTTGGTCAGTGAAACAGATATCCATTGGCACAAAGAACTATCTCAGCCTCAAATTTTGACTTTCAGAGCTTCTCTACCTTATTGTACTGTATTTGATTTCAATGCTGTCCTCTCAGTTTCCTTTTGAACTAGAGTGGTCCCAGCAAACCCTACTCTCCACTAGATTTCAACCCAATTCTTTCAGTTCTCCATGGAGGGAATTTATACTATACCTCAAGACTGGAATCTAACCAATTGTGACAGGTTTACCACACTCTGACTCTAAATTCACAAAGTTTAGGTTCCAATTTATTTCTACTTTATTATCACTTGCTGCCGTTCTTTCTCCTTGCTGTCAATATCCTTTTCTCATCAACTTTTTGAGTGTGAAAGATATACAATGTCTAAAACACAAAATCTTATCGATCATGGGTTTGAGCTCATACTTGCTAACTGTGGTTTGACCTTGGTTCTACTTACTATTCACTAATTTTCTAAATTTGAGCAAGTCATTTAAACTTTCAGAGCCAATGTTTATTTGCAAAACACAGATAATAATGGTATTTTCTGGGGTTGTTATGAGGGTTCTACAATAGCATAAACTTTACATATGCATCTAATATGCATTTAACAAATGAAAAAAATATTAATAACAATGACAAAACAACAACCATGAACATTTAGGCAAAAACATTTGTTTAAAGTTAAAAATAACAATAATAACAACAAAAACTCAAAAGTAGAGTGTTTCCTAACTATTTTGAAGACATTCCCAGATTTGAGGCTCCCTGGTGGCGGAAGTCAGAGATCCTGATGCTCCATTTTTCCTGCCTTGTGCTGCAGTACCTGTACTTGTTCAGGGAAGAGAAGATTGGTAACCTGAGGGCCCAATTCTTCTTCTTTTTTTTTTTTTTTGTCCTAACAAGCCCTCTGGGCCCTCCATCACTTTTCTAGATTAAATTTTCTGCATCACCTCCTTGCATTCTACATTACCTCCAATTAGAATCACATTCCAGCTCAAACAAACCCTGCAGTTAAGTAATTGACCAATCCCTAAATCTCTCTCTCTTCTTTTTTTATATCATGAGGACATTGGTGATTCAGTGGTAGAATTCCCACTTCCCAAGGGGGAAACCTGGGTTTGATTCTCAACCAGTGCACCTCAGGTACAGTCACAACTTGTCTTTCAATGGAGGTTTGCATGTTGCTGTGTTGCTGAATAGATTTCAACAGAGCTTCCAGACTAAGGCTGGGTAGGAAGAAAATCCTGGAGATCTACTTTCAAGATTCTGCCAATAAAAATCTTATGGATCATAGTGATCTGGATCCATTGTGCATGGGGTCACTATGATTTGGGCCATCTTAGTGATTGCTAACAACAACAAATACAACAATCTATCATAAAAATAAGATAAATGGACTGAAGAGGAAATGGTAGACTTGTAGAAAAAGGGAGTTACTTAAAGCTGTTCTTCGTTCTTGTCTGAAAGCCTTTACAACATTGTGTTGGTCACTGAAAAGTAAATCTTGAAGTCCAACTGAGATGGGCAGGGAAGATCAGGAACATGCAATATTCCAGTTGGGAGGCATTTTGCTTCTCAGTGTTTGTTCCAGGGACCAGCAGCTTCCCCTGAGATCTTGTTAGAAACACAAAATCCCAGGCCTCCCCCAGATCATTCATCAAAACTTCAATTTAACAAGATATACAGAAGACCCTTAAGCATGCTGTTTGGGAAATGCTGCTCTAGAACAAGTACTTCATTTTTCATTTTGAGAAACTAGAACTTGGAGCTCAGTATCTTGCTCGAAAAAACACAATTGTAAGTAACCATTGGTGACAAAACAACAAATAATCTATGAAAAAACTACTGGTCATTGATCATTTAAGCACAATTGAAAATGTCATAAGTAAAACTCAACAATTTACCAAAACTTATATTGCTTGATGGTGATCAATAACTCTATATACCATATATATGTATATATATATAGGACAGAACTAAAAGTTACATACAAGTTTGTCTTTCTATGCCACTAAAAATCAGCTCAGCAAGAGTTATCTCCCAAAATTATTTTTAATTCAACTATATTTTCATTATTGCTTAAAACTAATTTAATTATGCTTCTTGTTTAGTTTATAGCTATTCTATTCTCTGATCGCCAGGTTCCTTTGACCTTTCCACTTTAATATTTTTTATAATTATGCTTTATGGTCAAAATTTTGAATGGTTTTGAAATCTCCTTAATTTTCTATGAACTTGTGTAAGCATAAAAAAACACTTTTCTTTACCTCAGAAATTATAGTGCTCTGGTCTATAAATGTATTTAAACTTAATGTTTAAGCTTACTTTTGTCCTAAGACATATACATACAGCCAACAAGCTGAAATTCACATGTTAACATATAGCATTCTTAAAGGACCAGTTGCAATCTCAACAACAGAAAAATAATATTCCAGCGGGAGAAAATCCACAGTGTCTGGGGAGGTGGCTGTACTAAGTCCAATAAAGATATAAAGATACTAAACTAAGCAGGATTGCTCTATTGTGGTGCTTTAGTAATTTTACTAACATAGCAGAAATGAAAGTGTGGTTTTTTTTTTAAACTTCATTCTTCTAAGGAAACAGATCGAAAACAATGTGTTGCAAAAATATTGAATTGCATAGAAATTAGACTATTGATGTGATCCTAGAAAACTGTTGTGTATTGTCATGCTTCTTCTTGAGCTCCCTAAGGAATCTAGTGTGAGACTCTCTAGGAGAGACTTGTGCCATCCCTGGGTCTCTTCCGTGAGCCTGTTTTTGTTATTTGCCGTCAAGTCAGACCTGACTCACAGTGACCCCTCCTTGGGTTTCCGAGGCAGTATCGCTAAGGAAGTAGATTGCCCAACCTTCCTTCCTAGGAGGGGCTGGTGTGTTTGAACTGCCAGCCTTCTGGTTAGCAGTCAAGTGCCTTAAGCACTATGCTACCAGAGCTCCTTTCCTGAGCCTAGGAATGAATAATTCAACATCCTGAGTTTTTTTTTTTTTTTTTTTTTTTATTGTGGTGAATGTACCTGTAACAAAGCATTTTCCATTTTAACACTTTTTACATGTACAATTCAATGACATTAATTATGTTCACCATGTTCAATCATCACCATTATATGTTTCCAATATTTTCCATTGTCCTTAACAGAAGCCCAGATATTAAAGAGGATAGACCTTTTTGAGAATATACTTTTTTTTTTTTTTTGAAATTCACCATCAAGCCCTAACGAGTGCTCACTTTCAAGGAGTTTCCTTGGACAACCATATTCTTAATCATTTGATATGTGCATGAGTCAAAAGATTTTTATTCTTCTGTTAGAAATGTTTCACAGATAAATAATGTTAATTATCATATTCTGTAATATCTGATCTTTGAGGATGATTTTGTGTTTTTGAAAGAGTATAAATTCATTAAAAAGGTAACTATGGGAAATGGGAAGAGAGCTGTTACATTGTGAGAAATTGCTGTCAATGTCATGAAACAAAATGGACATGAAGTGCTGTATGGACCATGAATTTGCTCTGTAAACTTTCACCCAAATCACAATAAAAATTAAAACAAACAAACAAACAAAGGAAAAAAGAAAAAATACCTCCCAAGGGAACTACATAAAGACTAATACACAGACACACATGTGCATACACGTGCTTATATACACATACTCCAAGTGTGTAAGAGTTTATTTAAAAATAGGAAAAATACTAGATGATGTTCAGATACCATTACTGAAGAATAGAAGAATCTATAGAAGAATCTTTGATCAAAAGGGGGAAAATGGAACATAATTTCAAAGTCTCATGGAATCCACACTTTGTGGAGCCATTGAGGCTGGATGAACTGCTAAAACTATTACCCTGAGATAATCTTTAAATCTTAATTAAAAAAAAAAAACCTCCTTCAGTCTTCTTTAAACCAAAAAATAGTTTAATTTAATTTGTCTGTCTTGAGCATTGTGCTTTTTTAAAGAACTATCTATATAGAATCAAACTGATGAAGACAACTAAAGCTTAGATAGGAAGCTTAAGGGACAGTTGTGGGGGAGGAACAGTTTGGAAAATGAGGGTAAAAATTGGTGTAGAACTGTGAGAATGTATGTAATCTGACTGAATCATACATGAAGAAATTGTTGAACTGCTTTATGTTCTGTTGTGTATGTTTTTAACAGCAAAATAAAATAATTATATAAAACCTTTTAAAAAAACCTTTATTTATAGACCAGTTCATCTGTTAAATTAATTATCCCTCCAAAAGAGCTCTGGTAGCATAGTGGCTAAGGCACTTGACTGCTAACCAGAGGCTGGCAGTTCAAACCCACCAGCCCCTCCTAAGAAGGAAGATGAGGCAATCTACTTCTGTAGTGATACCACAACCCAAGGAGGGGTCACTAGGAGTTGAGCCCGACTCGGCGGCACATAACAACAACATAAATATGTTGTATTTTCTCCTTAGTTTCTCTTTCATTGATGCTCTCTGTTCCTTTCAAGAGATTGGGCCAAGACAAGAAGAGAAAATGTATATCAGTTTATGAACAACAAAATTGGTCTCTTTAGGAGACCCAAAGTTTTTTACATGCCTAGACTGTACTATCTGTGTTTTCCTTACGTCCCTGTGTGATTGAGCTGGGAGGGTAATTATCACAGGTATGTTACGATTTAGCTTTAAATTTGGGAGAGATGCACTTATGTTACAGATTTTGCCCTTTTATACTACATTTTGTTTTTTTCCTAAGTACTGTAGAAATGTGTCAAGTTTTCCAGCAGCCTGCACAAACCTCCAGTGTCATTATGACTCTGCAGAAAGTGAAGATACTGGTTGTGCACATATTTATCTTCTTTGCAGGTGAGTTGCTTCCGTAAGAGGTGCTTGCTACTTGTGCTGTACTGATTCTCAGAGCTCGGCTGTCAGAGACACAGGGATGTTACTGAGAATTTCTTTTAGAATGAACTGCAACCTTCTCAGTCTTGCTTCTAAGTTCCTCACAGACCTAGTCCACACTTTCCAGCTTCATTTCCACCCCGTAAATACACAGCTACACTCCAATTGCACAACCTCTTTGCTAACTCTTTCTGGGGCTTTCCTGGCTCTGTGTCTTTGCTCATGGAATGTGCTTTCAACCATCGCCTTAGCCTGGACTCCATCTGTACTTTGTGTCACTAAGCAGAGGACATCTTTTCCTGAAGGATTGCCTCCATCTCCTTTGTTCGAAATAACCTTGATTTCTATCCAATATGATACTTGATGCTCTCATTTCTTACATTTCTCTCTTCTACTAGAGTCAAAGTTTTCTGAAGGCCACAGCCATATCTTAATCTCCTGTGTCTACCCAGTGCCTGGCATTCTGTCAATGTGTGCTGAGAGAATGAATTCAGTTTCCTAAATTCCCAGGACACTTTTATTATAGCCTTGGAACTTATAGATTGCATTTTTGTTTTTAGGACCCCTTTCCTTCAGTATTTAGATATGTAAAACTTTTTATCTGACAGCATCGTCAATGTTCATTACATTTCTAATTGGATGTAGGGATTAAAAAAAAGAACATCTACAAGCTCTCATTTCTATGAAGACATAGACTCATTTTGCTCTCATATCTAAATATACTAAATGCACTAAATGATATTAGCATGTGGAAGCATGCTCTGATAAAATTAAATACAACTTTGTTCTGGATCCTGAGTGCTTATCTAGCCAATTGAATCCAGCCATGTCTAGATATAATTATTTTGACATTTTATAGTTAATGTAATGGCTTTTAAAACATTAATTAATACTTGGATTTATATTTATTTTTTCAGTTCTGTACCACAGCTACTAAATTAATATAGCATGCTTAAAATTACATTGGTAATAGAAAATTAATTTTTAATTTTTATATTTAATTTCCAGAAAACTCAAGCATGTCCTACTCAAGCATGACTAACATTTAAATTGTTTCTCCACTTTCCTTATTAAACTGTCACCCTAGACTATAGAACTGGAGGCTAGTGACAGGCTATTATGTGGTCCTGAAAAGATGTAAGCAGTGGATAATAAAGATGGGATAAATTGGACCAACATAGCAAATGATCTTTTTCCATCATGCAAATGGAAAGCTGTCAGATAGGTTACTGCTACTATTGAGAACAAAGTTGTTATTGGATGTCACAAAGTTAAGTCCAGTGTCACAACTTTAGTAAAGCTGACATTTCCTGCCTCCTGATATGATATTTTAGATAGATTAAAAGCAATTGCATGCTATAACAAGGCATATAGCTTGATAGCTGCACAGAGCCAGAAGAAACCTCAGTAGTGCCCATTTTAACCTTAAATTGGCCATTGAGACCTAGAGATAGAGAGTGAGTTGTCCAGGGTTTCAGAGTGAAGAAGTCAGACTCCCTCTCCCCTTGAGGAGACTTGTAGGTATCAATGGGGATGAAAGGAGCAGGATTTGGAGAAATAGATTCAGGCACAGAAAGCAGAAATGCAGTGAAGAAAGTGAAAGATAGCATTGGAAGGAAGGGAAGGAACATGGGAAGTGAGTGTAGTGGTGGGATGGAGGTGCTGCAGAAGTGCTTTAGATGCAACTTACATCCTTTGGTCAGAGGCCTAGAGCCAAAGGAGAGAGAACTCTTGTTTTAGGAAGATGCTCTTGTAGAATGAAAGGTTAATTTCAGGTGACATGGGGCACAGGACCAAGGCAGGTCATCAATGGAGTGGTCAGGCAGAATCCAGAGCCATTAAAGGTAAAATTAAGCAGTTGGAAAGAGGTCGGATTTGAGGAATAGAGGTAGAATCCTGAATGGGCTTTGCTATTAACTTGAGAAGTCAGGTGGATAGTGAAGCCCTAAAATAAACCCTCTGTGTAATGAATGTAATCATTAAAACTGGGATACTTTTGAGAATGAAAGGAGGCAGTGTATTTAATTACATCAGGGCAATAGGTGAAAACCAGGCCTGACTTGGACAAACTGGGTGAATGGCTACCCTATCTGAAGGTACAGGTACAAGTACAGGTACAAGTGCAGGAACAGGGGCCAACTTGAGGAAGCAGAGGAAGGAAGTTACTTTATAGACATTCTCAGAAGAACCACAAAGTAATAGATTACATTTGGCACTCAAAATCATACTTTTCCCTCATCATCTGAATGTTAATTTTGATGATTAAAGATGCTTTTGTGAATTTGGGTCATTTTGAAGCTTTACAAAAATAATTTTGTAGGAGTGGCTACTTTGGAATAGATTGATTTACTGATTATTTCTCTGTGTTTCTTTGACAGAAAACCCTTCCTTGATTAAGGATGTTTTGTGTGCAGCTCTGAGTTGCAAACAAAATGGGATAAGTCCTCTTATTTTATCTGTTATGAAAGTGCTTGCTTTGGTGAATAACTACTCACAGGTTTGTTTTCTTTTCTATGTCAGAAAATTTAATTTTTATTATTATTGGTCCATGTAATATAGTCATACTCTTCTGAGCTTTGTGACTTTGTCCTTAAAATCAAAGCAACTGTGTTATACACAGTTATATTGGAAGTTAGGCCTGTACAGGGATTGCTTATCTTTCCTTTCTCTTGGGTTTTCACACTGATGTGCTGGTGATGACTAGCATTGACTCACAAGAACTGATTTTTAGATTTTTAGGAATTTTACAAGCTGATTGTAAAATCACTCATTTTACAATCCAATGCACTCATTAAGCACACTCATCATTTAAAATCAAATTATATAAACTTATGATTGTTTTGTTGTTGTTGTTGCTATGTGCTGTCAAGTCATCTCTAACTCATAGCGATTCCTCCTTGGGTTTCCAAGGCAATATTTCTATGGAAGTAGATTGACTAACCTTCCTTCTCAGAACTGGCTGGTGGGTTTGAACCACCAGCCTTCTGGTTAGCAGTCAAGTGCCTTAGGAACTATGCCTCCAGAGCTCCCAACTTATAATTAAATATACTAAAATAAAGTACTAAATACTCCACATTTGTCTTCTTAATAATTTTATTATATTTTACTATTACCTATTTTCTTTTTAGTATTTACATCTCTTATATCTATATGGAAAAGAAGCTCTGGTGATGTAAGGCATTTGGCTGCTAACCACAAGGTCAGCAGTTCAAATCCACCAGTTGCTCCATGGGAAGAAGATGAGGCAATCTATTTCCATAAAGATTTACAGATTTGGAAACCCAATGGGGGTCACTCTGAGTTGGAATTGACTTGATAGCAGTGGATTTGGTTTTGGTTATCTATGTGTGGTGGAAATGAAATACCATATAACATGTCTGTAGTATACATGTTTCTATGTTCAGTGATGTTGGCAACTTGAAATAAACCACTTTCAGAGCATTTACAGCATAAGCATTTACAAATGCTACATATCAGTTCTTCTTCTTTTTTTTTTTTTTTAATTCAGGGAGACTGTTGTTAAACATTACTAGGCCAGGACTGGTTCTGACTAGATGAATATCCTGGTAAATACCAAGAACTGATTGCTCCATGGGAACCAGCATAGCAGTTTCCTTTTTGATAATTTGAATCTAACTGCCGTTGAGTTGGATCCAACTCACAGAGACCCCACCTTGGGCTTCCAAAGCAGTATCACTACAGAAGTAGATTGCCCCATCTTCCTTTTGAGGTGCCCAATAATATTCCATGCAGCTGAATTGAATAATGTGGCTTTTTACCTGGGACTCTACTCTTTTGACCTGGAATTCAAGGCTATGGGCTCCCGGGCTGACCTGACCAGCTTAGGAATCATGGACAATGGTGATGGATGATGATTTACCAAAAATGGGAGAACACTTGCCTTTCTTGTAGGGTTCAATTATGTTTATTGTTTTGAGGCACAGGAACTCCACCTACTCATATGTGCAAAGCACGTAGACAGAAAGATAGCACTGACAGGGACCAGAGGTATTAACTCTGAAATCCTATAACATGATGAGGGCTAAAAGACCTCATCTCTGTGAGACTGTAGGCTAGATAAAGCTGATAATTCTTAATAATATTCTAGGGCCTTGGGAAGAGTGGTGTACATGAGCAGGAAATATCGTTTGAGTCTATAAAATAATTTCCCCTGTAGCCCTAGTACTTTATTATGGTTACACTGATGTACTTAAAACCCAAAACCAAGCTCACTGCCATCGAGTCAAATCCAATGCATAGTAACCCCTCCTTGGGTTTCCGAGATGGTATCTCTATGGAAGTAGATTGCCATTCTTCCATTCTAGGAGAGGCTGATGGGTTTGAACCACCAGGCTACTGGTTAGCAGTCAAATGCCTTAGGCACTATGCCACCAGAGATCACCAAATTCTTATTTCCAGGTTGTGCATAGTTTTGTCAGATATTAAATATGGACAAATATTTACAAAGAAAAACACCCATTGACAATCTTTGAGTGTTGATTGAAATTTACAGTAATAAAACATACAAGGGACTCCAGATTTCAAAATAACTTGCTCACAGAGTGAAGAAGGAAGACAGTATTTAGAGTTCAAAGTATTATATAATTGTTAGTAATTTGACTGAATAATGACTAGATTGGTTTTGATAAAGAACAGAAGTTCTTGTCTATGATGACAAAAAATAAAATATTGCTTATTTCAGGATGCAAACCTTTAGGATATGTCTTCTGCAACTGTGCAAGGCTTTTAGAAATGGAAATCTTCCAGGCTGTGGAATACGAAGTGCCTTGTACCCAATAGAAGTAGGCAAAGGGCAAAATGCCCCTTTTAGTTTTTTCAATACCAAAATAAATATTCTAGCATAGTTTTCTTAATACCAAAATGGAATTCTCATTGGAAATGAAAGTCTTAACTATTGAATTGTTGTGGTGCAAGGTCAAGGATGTCAGATCCTTATACTCTTCCGCTCATTGTTCTAAACAGTGGAAAATAACAGTAAGGAGTTAAACAGGAATCAGAAATTAAACTTCAAAGATGACAAGAAGTGTCCAACAGTTTTAATACTTCTGGGATAGGCTGAATTGAAGAATGTGGCTGGAACTCCAGTTTAAACTGGGCCTTCCTATGATCTCCCCAAATTTTGACCTTTAGACCCATCTACCTGAGTCGTATCTGGAGGATTACAGACTTTTCCTCACCAGGGGCCAAGAGTCTACCTTGTGCTGTCTTGTCCAGATGATGGTCTTAACACATTCTAAAGCAGAGACTAGTCAGTCTCTGAACCTTCATAATAGACACTTCTTTAGGTCTGGACTGTGTGAAAGAAGTCTTTACTTTTCTTCCAGTAGTTTCTGCTATTAAGGAGAGAAGTGAAATTTCTTTCTCTGTAATTCTTATAAATAAAAAAAAATATTTTATAATTTAAGAATAAAATTCAAGTATACTGATCTTCTATACTTTGGAATCCCATGTGGTCTCTGAGTGGTGAAAATGGTTAAGCACTTCACTACTAAAAGAAAGGTTGGGAATTAAAATCCAACCAGACCTGTCTCAGAAGAAAGGCATGGTGATATGCTTCTGAAAGTTCACAGTGATGAAAGTTCTTTGGAGTGTAGCTCTACTCTATGGGGTCACTATGGATCTGAATTGACTCAGTGGCAACTGGTACACCTTGTACATGCTGGATCATATGGAATTTCTATTTCCAACTTCTTAAGTAAGTGCCATACTGCTTTCCACAGTGGTTGCACTATTTTACAATCCCACAGCAGTATATGAGTGTACCAGTCTCTCCACACTCTCACCAGCTTTTGTTGTTTTCTGTGTTTTTGAACTTGCTGGAGTGAAATGATAACTCAGTTTTTTTTTTTTTTTTTCTATTTGCACCTCTCTAATAGCTAATGATTGTGAGCATTTCTTCCTGTGTTTGTTAGCCACCTGAATGTCTTATTGTGTGAAGTCCTGTTCATGTCCTCTGCCTATTTTTAAATTGGATTACCTGTCTTTTTGTTGTTGAGTTGTTGAAGTTTTCTGTAAATTTTGGAAATTAGTCCCTTGCTTGATATATCAGTGTCTGCTTTTTTTTTTTTTTCCCCAGTCTGTAATCTCTCTTTTTATACTTTTGACAGTCTTTTGATGGACATAAATGTTCAATTTTTAGTAGGTCCCAGATGTCTAGTTTATCTTCTGCTGTTTGTGTGTTTTTAGGTATGTTTGATAATGTATTTATGGCCTGCATTAGTACCCCTAATTTCACCCCTATTTTTCTTTGATGATCTTTATGGATTGGGCTTTTATATTTAGGTCTTTAATCCACCTACATTTAGTTTTTTGTTTATGGATCCTGTTTCATTTTTTTCTGAAAATGGATGTTCAGTTTTTCCAACATCATTTATTAAAACCTATACATAGGTTGTCACTTAATTTTACATTAAGTAAATATTTTTGCCATTTATTAATTTATAGGTATTACTTTTTGCAAAGTACTTTTCAAAATTATTGATTATTTTTTCAAATAAAACTAGTTGGATATTTCTAAGATGTTGTTAAGATGTTCATGGTACTTAAAGAGACTTGAAGATATCCTGAAGTCTGGGAACTAGCCCACTGGTTTTCACCTGCTCTACAGAATTCTGGGAGACCCTCTGACTGCAGAGGGAGGAGCAGGAGCCTTCCAGGTTGACTACAGACCTTCAAGGCAGGGTGAGTCCAGGTTTTAGTCACTTGACATATGGGTACCCACATAGGATTTCTTTTAAATCATAGGTTTTGTGGCTATAAGTTTTGAAAACTTCAGCTTTAAAGCAAAGAACTGAGCTCCTGAGGTGAGGTACCTAGATCTTTCAGCTGGGTGGTGTGTGTTCTCTGCTGTGCATTGGACTCCTGTGTGACATGCCTTGTGGCACGCAGTCATATGTGACCGCTTTCCTGGCTAGTCAGTGGCAGAGCCAGGAGTAGGATCTGTTTCTAGTACTCTGTAACACACAGAAGCAATTGTAAATGTTGGGACACTTTCAGTCTCCAGTGTTGTGCTTCCTGATATCAAGGAAAATAAATAAAAGTCTTACCATGCAAGTAATTCTTAGTGAGGGCAGGTCTTGACCTGGAAACCATACTTGAGCATATACAAGTGAATATACATGTGTCTAACTTATATCATTGGTATATTTTATAGGAAATTGAACAGATATGGTCCTCACCTACTCAACTAAATTGTGAAAGTCTTAGCAAGAATCTTTCTAGATCCTTGGAAAGCTTCAAGAACAACTTGGAAGATGCTACTGAGGAGGACTGTGAATGCCAACCAGTGCTAGAAACCATCCAGCAGCACATGCACATGTAATAATACCTGATTTGGGTTCCATATCCTTTTTCAGTATTTTAAATTATAAAGAAATTGTCTAATTTTTTCAATTGTTATTTTCAGCCAGTACTATGTACCACCTAATACTTCTCTACTTAATAGAAATACATTTTCTAAACCACATGAATGTTTTGAATGACGTTAAAGTTTTAAATTGTAAAATGGAGAAACAACTTTGGGCATAGTCTAGCTTTATTAGTAATCAAGATTTTAGGTTAAAATACATGATCTAAGATTAATATACTATTAAATGTAGTCTGTAATCAGACTACAATCAAATATTTTTCAATTTATCTTCATATTTGATTATTTTTTTCAGTGCTCTTAAACTTTAAACTACCAGTAGAGGAAATGAGGCAGTTTATATTCTGCAGATGACTTACTCGCAGAAAGAATGATGTTTGTCTGACTTCTTGCTATCCTAATTTCTCATACACTCCATGATATATTCTATCTATTCTGTTCACACTTGTGAAAAGCCATTTATTATGCATCCCATTTCCCCAAATCATCTTGCTTGGCAGGGACTCTGAGAAGAAAATATTGAAATTGTAGTATTAATGGATATTCACATCCGGATGGTGTCAGGAGACATTTTGTGTTTCATTATCTGAGGAGTTTTAGGAAATGTGATCTTGTTATCCAGTTCACCTCCTGGGAACTGAGGCAGTATTATTCATTCCAACATTGTTTCTTGTGTTTTATCTTGCCTAATTTAGCTTTAATTTTCTGCCATTTTAGGTTGGCTGAAAGCTTCAGGGAGACTTTGTCATCAGGGAATCCCATTTTGACTTTTCTTAGCAATTTCACAGTAACTGATGGTGAGTGTCTGATTTCTCCATGTTTGCATGATTAAAGAATAATTTTAGTTTCCCACTCAAATATGTTATTAAAATAAAACATATAAAGAAGAAGTTATAGTAAATATGGAGAATATCAATCTATAAATTGGCTGGCTTGATGTATTTGGGATTAATTAGGAAAGTTCTAGGATTCATTAGTAACAAACTCAAGAGGAAGAATGAAGAGGAACTTCTGTGGTCTGGGTTTTGTCCTGGCTCTGCCTCCTTCAACAAGTCATTCGATATCCATGAATCTCTATGTCATCATTTATGTAACATAAGCAATTCATAAAGCTCCTTGTAGCCTCAATAGGTCAAGTATGGAGAATTCTGAAAAATTCTTAACTTGTATCCCTCTTGTCAAATATGTGATAACTAGATATACATATAGAAGTGAGTTTCTCATATAGCACTTGGTCATCATTCCCTAAGAAAAAGCTCTTTCTAAAATCAATCATCTTAAAATATAGTTTTAAGGAGTACACATACTGATAAACAGAAAATACCTCTTAACTTGAGGTTTTGTTTCAGATTTAGTTTAAATTGTCTCAGTTACATCAAACTAAAACCAAACCAAACTCACTGCTGTCAAGTTGCTTCTGTCTCATAGTGACCCTTCCTTGGGTTTACAAGGTGGTATCACTATGGAAGTAGATTGCCCGATCTTCCATCCTAGGAGTGGCTGGTGGGTTTGAACTTCCAGCCTTCTTGTTAGGAGTCAAATGCCTTAGGCATTATGCCACCAGAGTGTTACATCTAAAGGAGTATGATATGGCTTCATTGGATGTCTATTATGGGTAGGACACAGTGAAGGAAACCATCCTTGCCAGTTTTTAATATTAAATTGTGTTTCACAGCAATAATTTAAACACTATTATATAATTCCTTTCCTCTTCTTTACATTTCAGGTGTAAAAGTTAAAGATTTGATTAAAAACATTACCAACTTAACGGAAGAGCTTCAATCTTCTATCCACCTTTCAGATGAAACAATCAATAGTATTTTAGAAGCAAATATTTCCCATTCAAAGGTATGATGCTGTTCATTCTCCACTGTGATCACTTAAAGATTCCCCAGCTAACCTGAAGTTATGGCATTATATTCTTCTATCTCTCTGTCCATGGCTGGGGGATAGATCACTGTGCAAGTGATATCACTGAAAGCAAAAAGGAAATGAGAGGACAACAAAGAACCAAAGAATATCATTGTGTGATGCCAGAACCTTAATTTCATAATGTTGCCTTCAATCAGAGCTGGAAAGACAGACTTTGGTGATGACAATTATCCCAGCAATTCTCAATTCTGATTCACCACAACCTGAAGCATCTATCCTTTGTTCAATGGGGCATTGCAAAATTCTCAAAAATATCCTAAAACAAAATAATTTAAAAGATCTAAAACTCAGCAAATATTCCTTTACTTAGATAATACCTGCATAATCTGCCACTATACTATAAGGAGCTCTGGTGGTGTAGTGCCTAAGACATTTGACTGCTTACCAGAAGGTTGACAGTTCAAACCCACCAACTGCTCTGTGAAAGGAAGATGGGACAATCTACTTCCATTAAGATTTACTGCCTTGGAAACCCACTGGGAGTCACTATGAGTTGGAATTGACTTAATGGCAATGAGTTTGGTTTTATACTACGATAGTGGCTTATCGTAAAACCAAATGAGTAGTAACAAGCTGTGTCATCTCCAAAGTGATTGAGAAGAACCAATAAAGGCAACTGCAACAAAAATTATGAAACTATTGAAGAACTCTGCACCATGTTATCTTTTAGGAGTGTCTCCAGGTATCTGGTGTGAAATTATACCAGAAAATTTTATCTAAGAAAAATGTGATCTTCAGTGTGACTACTCTACTCTCTAGTCCTGGGAGGCACAATGGTTAAATTCTTGACTCAACTGAAAGATTAGAGGTTGAAGTCCATTCTGCAATGCCTCAGAAGAAAAGCCTGGCTATCTAATTCCAGGAAATCAGCCATTGAAAACCTTGTGATGCACAGTTCTCTGACACACACGGGGTTGCCATGGGTTGGGGTTGACTTAACAGCAACTTGAAACTTACTCTCTATTAATTCTAATGCCACAGATCAAGGGTATGAGTAAAACATGCTGAAGTACTGGGGTACAGTTTGTCTATGGAGGCAATGAATAAGTGAATTTTATATATTCATAGCAGATAGTCATTTATCCTTTGCAGGTATTTTTCCAAGACTCCCTTTCAGCACTTCTAGTTAGGGTCTTACTTTACTGTACTTTCTAAAAGTAGTAACCATTAAGATGGCTCTCTGGTAAGTACTTTTATTGGCAATCAACTAGGTCACGGTGGATATTGAATTTCATGTTGATTCTATAACTAGCAGTATCGACTCATTGGAATTAAATGCATGTCTTGGCAGGCAGATTAATTAATTAAGAATTTATGTGAATCAAGCCAGAAATAGAGTAGAAACTGTGAATCCAAAATTCAAATTATAGCACCACCAACTTATTTGCAGTAAGTCACACAGTATCTGTCTCTGAGGAATATTGTCAATAGTGGCTTTTTAAAATTCACATGTGAATGAGTTGCTGGGGATAGAAGTGGAGATGTAGAGGGCAGAAAGCCATGTTGAAATTTTCTTTTCCCATCTCATCTCCTGTGAAAGCTTGTTATCCTAGTTATGTAAAAAGTATGACGAGCTTTGGTTTGAAATGTTCAGTTGCTGGAGCTTGCAAAAGGGGAATGGAATGGAAATGGAATTAATTAAGTAGGTGATAAGGAGGGCTTTAAGAGAAGAGTCAGATTAGTTAATATCTAGAGTCCCTATCAATATCAAAGTCTATGGCTTTTATTGGGTTAGGCACAACTTTTTTTATTTTTTTACTGTCCCTGCCTGATTAAGCTAGCAGCCACTGGATGTCACTAATGTTCTATATTGAGAGGACTCTGCTCATAGTAAGCTTTCAGTATAATAAGGTGATATTGCTGCCTACATAGTTTTACACTGACTTTTAAAAATAGGGGTGATTTTTCTATCTCCCTTTATGTCTTTGACAGTGTAATTGAATATGGTTACCTAAATAACTAGAAAGTTAGATCCTCAGAAAAGGTATTTAATAAGGTGTTTTTGTTGTTAGGTGCTGTACAATCTGTTCTGACTCATAGCAACACTATGTACAGCAGAATGAAACACTGTCTGGTCCTGAGTCAACTGCACAATCATTGCTATGTTTGAGCCATACCCCCCCCTTTTTTTTCCTATGTTTGCAGCAATTGTGTCAATCTGTCAATCCATTTTGTTGAGGATCTTCCTCTTTTTTGCTGACCTTGTTCTTGACTGAGAATGATGCCCTTCTCTAGGGACTGGTTACTCCTGACAACATGTCCAGTGTATGTAAGATGAAGTATCACCATCCTCATTTCTCAGGGGCATTCTGGCTATACATTTGCCAATACAGATTTCTTCATTCTTCTTCTACTTCTTCTTTTTTGTTGTGAGTGTGATTTGGGTCAAGATTTACAGAGCAAATTCACTTTCCATACAGCAGTTTATATATACTTTGTCTCATGACATTGGTCACAGTTTACCACAATGCAACAGCTCCCCTCCCACTTCCTCCCCATGGTTACCTCTTCCCAGTGTCCATCCCTCCATACACTCCTGCCCCCTGAGCTGTCTCCCTGTGCATAGGCAGCCCTTCTTTCTCAATGATTGTTCTCTTCAAGAATTGTATCTACCTCAGGTAAATGTTCAACTCATATGCCTGTCTTCTGTTTGGCTGGAAACCACAGATGTGGGTTCATTTCCACACCTGAAGGGCAGCTAGGGGCCATAGTCTCAGTGGTTCCACCAGGCTCTATTGAACCAGCAAACCTGGTCCACCCCCTTTCTTTTATCTCCAAATGATTTTGAGTTTTGTTCCACATAGTTCTCCCTCTCTATCAAGGATCTCTTACATATATCCCCTTCTAAGAGGATGACAGTGGTAGCCGGCACCATCTAGTTCTTCTGGTCTCATAGTCATAGAGGCTGCAGATCAGATGGTGTACCAGTTGCTAGGACTAATTGTTTCCATGAATTTTGGTTTTCTTCATTCTTCTTTGCTCTGGATGAGGAGAGACCCATCGTTGCATCTAGATGGCAGCTTGCTAGCTTTTAAGATCCCAATCGCTACTAGCCAAAGTAGGAGGTAGAACAATGTTTTATATAGTATGTTATGCCAATTGAGCTTGATGTCCTCTGCGACTATCATCCCAAGCCCACAGGTTCAACTATGCGGTCCCTATGGGTAGCTGGCTGTGACCAATCAGTGACCACAACCTTCCCCTTTTTAACTCTACTATACACCTGGGAATTCTGATCATTCACATAAACTTATAGGACCGTTGTCTGCCAACCCTAGATATGTTCTTGGATACACTCCCCATTTCATAGACATACCTGATCATTCAGCCTGTCCACCCATCTATCCACCCATATACCCATGCTTGCCTTCACTGACAATGCAGTACTGTATGTACAAAAGAGTTCATATTTGTTGTTTGTACCTCCCATGTACCTCTCTATGTTTTTTCTCATCCTTCCTCAATGCTGCCATATTGATCACTCACATTTGGTACATTGCCCTTCTCTTCACCCAAAGCAATACTTATCTCTGTCTATCTAACAGCCTTCCCTCCCCTCCCCTCCCACCCCTGGTAACCAACAAAGAAAAT